CATCGAGCATTGAAAATACCTTGGAATCTGAGATGGACAGGGTGGATGTCACCACCTTGACGCCTTGGCTACCTGAGGAGGAGAATGAATTTCTTTTGAGTCACTTCAGGTGCAAGAGGCAAGCTACTATGCATTACACGCTACCCATAACAGAGGCAGAGTTAAAGGAAGCTGACCTGGTGCTAAAACTCCAGGAGGAGCTACAATAAAATGAACTGGCCTATGTCCTTGGACTCAAAGGGGAAGGGATGTAGTAATTTTAATGAGGTCAGCCAGGTGGACCTTTAGAATATGAGTTCCCTGATTGAGGCTGTCAATCTGGTCCAATCAGGGAGCCTGGCTCACAGACAAGAACTGGAGTGTCAGACATCCTGCTCACTCAGACAGCTGGCTCTGAGGGAGCTGGATCAGTGTCAAGGACTCTTCACGTATAAATAAAGGATGACTTGGTGATGGGATACTGGCCTCTGTGGAGTTATTTCACCAGGTGAGGTAAATTTACGGCCTGTTTCCTCAACCTACTCATAATAAACAATCACAGAACTTTGCCATGGTTAGGCAAGGACTTAAGCAATCACCAATGATCTGCCTTCAGGTGGGGAGAGCTGAAGAGAAAGATGCAAGGCCCCAGTAATGTACACCAGAATACTGCTACAGCTGTGGGACGTAGCTCAGATTTCCCATTGCTTGCAGTGCGCTGACCACTTGAATGATGCTCCCTCTAAGCACACAGAAGTCACTGCTAAGTGATGTTTCACCCTGAGCTTTCATTAAAATAATCTGAAATTAGACTTTTGATTATTTTACGAGTTTAATTTATTACACAACCACTTAGTTTCGAAGATAGTAGGAACTGCAGATGCTGGAGAATCTGAGATAACAAGGTGTAGAGCTGGATGAACACAGCAGGCCAAGCAGCATCAGAGGAGCAGGAAGGCTGACGTTTCGGGCCTAGTTGTTATCTCACTTAGTTTCTATATGCTTTTGTTTTTATGCAATTATTTCATTTATAGATACACCCACTAATTTTGGCCTGAGATCAGAAGAAAATGGCAGACAGCCCTTATAGTCCCTGGCACAATCTGGCATGATAGAAAAATAATTTTCAGTCCAGTGTTATCCTAATAGCTTCATCAAGTACAGGCATATAAATTTTAACAAAGTAGATATGTATCTTCTCCCTTTCTTCTCAAGTCTATCTGGGTTTGCTTATAGATATAGCCTTTTTGAGCTAAGAGTGATGGTTGAATACCTAAACTGCACCAATTACATTTGGAATATTTTAATAACAGAAATCAACCGCCACTAATCTGCCCTTGAATGGCTGCTAACGTTGATACAGTAATTTGTCTGATAACTTTTTTGAAAATAAAATTTATTGGATGTGGGCATTGCTGGTTGACCGGCATTTATTACCCATTCCTAGTTGCCCTTGAGAAGGTGGTGGTGAGCTGCCTTCTTGAACCGCTGCAGTCAGTTTGCTATAGGTAGACCCACATTAGGGAGGGAATTCCAGGATTTCGACCCAGTGAAAATGCAGGAGTAGCGATATATTTCCAAGTCATGATGGTGAATGGCTTGGAGGGGAAATTGCAGATGGTGCTGTCCTTCTCTTTCTAAATGGTAGTGGTTGTAGGTTTGGAAGGTGCTTGGAGAATTTTAGCAGTGCATCTTGTAGATTGTTCACACAGTTGCTACTGAGTATCAGTGGTGCAGGAAGTGAAAGTTTGTGGTTGTGGTGCCAATCAAGTGAGCTGCCCTGTATGGTGTCAAGCTTCTTGAGTGTTTCTGCAGCTGCACCCATCCAAGAAATTTGGGAGTATTCCATCACACTGCTGACTTGTGCCTTGTAGATGGTGGACAGACTTTGGAGGGTCAAGAAGTGAGTTACTCACTGCAAGATTCCTAGCTTTGCAGCCATACTACTTATACAGTTAGTCCAGTTCAGTTTCTGGTAAATAGTAAATACTAGGATGTTGTTGGTGGGGGATTCAATCATGATAATGTCATTGAACAGGGGTGATGGGGTAATGATTACATTCTCCCTTGTTGAAGATGGCCATAGTCTGGACCTTCTGTGGTATGAATGTTACTTGCCACTTGTCAGCCTGAACCTGCATTTGTCCAAGACTTGCTGCATTTGGACATGGACTGCTTTAGTATCTGAGGAGTTGTGAATGGTTCTGCAGATGGTTGAGCCTCGAACACTAACCTGAGGAGTTCTCGAAGAGATGTCCTGGAGCTGAGATAACCGATGTCCAACCACAACCATCACTTTTGTTATTGTTAGCAGAGTGTGTATAAACTACAGAATAATCGGAACCACACACACAGTTCCTAAAGCAGTACCGTCCAAATGAAGTCAGTGACTAGGCACAAGTGTGGATGTAGAGCCTTGATTTCAGCAAAAGGGCCTCCTTCTAGTTGAAAATGCCTTAAATACAACACAAGTAAATGTACATCAAAGGACATTGTCTTATCAAATATTTGTCACTGATCAGTATGAAACTTTGTTGTCTTTAACTTTTACCAGTTTTGAAATCTGATGTGAATTTATCAAATCCTAGCATTGCTTTGAGGTTTTTGTCCAAAGTTTGCAAGTGATTGGATGCAGGTTGCCCATTGTCAGAGCCATGCTTATTGGAGCTGCCGATCTTTGGATAGGTTTGCTTTTATCTGCTCGCCTGCAGTGGTCATTCCAATCATTTCAGCTGACCACAAATGACCTCTCTCTCTGTGCAATGTTGCTGTTGCTTCTATAGTGTTAGAATATTCCATTTTTAATGGTGTTACATGTCATTTCCACACCCCAGTAAGCAGTAACAAGGAAGTAAAGCATACCCGAACATCAAAAGAATTCACCAGCTCATGCGTTTTCTTTTGCCACTTTGTGAACAAGCTGGTCACAGAACAAGAACATGCAGTAGGCTGGGTTTTACAGCACGTCAGTGCCTGCCTCCTGCCCGAGATGAAAGGTGGGTGGGGATCCATCCACGATGCCAGTAGCTGCCCAGAGTTTAACACTGGGAGCAGTGCTAATTGCTTTAAAGTGAGACTTCAGCCCTTTCCTCAGGAGGACAACCTGCAGTTGAGATGACAGGCAGCTATGTAGGCCCAGCCAGGAACAGTGGTCATATATGGGCCTGCCAAGGAATCCAGCAAGAGGAGAGAGGGGATGGGGCTCTAGATTCAAGAGACAGTTTCCACAGTTAAAAGGGACAAAATAACATTTCTGGGAGGAGGGGAGATACTTCTAATGGGTCTACAGGATCCCCGAAAGGAGGTCTCCCCCTACCCTCACTTAACATCAGTCTGCGCAGTTACGCATATTCCCTCATAGTGTAGACCTCCCTCCAACTCAGGTAAAAGACTGGCAGTGAGATGAGGGCCTTCAAGTGCCTCAATAGACCCAAGGGTGTGCAGGCTGCCTGTACCTGCTCCTCCATTGCTGCAAAGCTTCAGTCAGTTCTGAGGCAGATGAGTAGGAGGTGGGAAACCTGCTGTTGGATTTTCATTGCCCCTCCACCTCCTTGAAGGTGAGTGGTAGAGCAAAGTGTACATAAGACACTGAAAGTCTGCAGAGGGATATAGATAGTCTAAGTGAGTGGGCAAAGGTCTGGCAGATGGAGTACAATGTTGATAAATGTGAGGTCATCCATTTTGGTAGGAATAACAGCAAAATGGACTATGT